CCCCAAAACCCCAAAACCCCAAAACCCCAAGCTACTTAATTTCAATTGTGCATGAGTGATACTTATTCAAATAAAGATTAATGATTTGACTTGATTTGATTTGATTGATTATTTAGATTGATCTTAAACTCTCATTATCTAGTATCATCATTGAAGGAAGACCTTGGGTGATGTTGGATCGACAATAGGTTTAGCTGGATGATATTTCTCAATGATTCCCATCACATCTTCGGTGAAGAAACTGTAATCCTTGGCGAAGAAGAAAGACAAATGACCAAGATTGTACTCCTTGTAGTGAACAATAGACTTAATCTAGTCCTTTGCCCATCTGTTGTCAATTGTGTTAGCAAGCTCATCCTTAGTACCAACGAACATTGCCACGGGTACTATAATATAATAAAAATGATATCTTTATTACCTTTTTAAATGTTACTAATTTCAATGACTGGTGGTTCAGCTTGTCCATACTTTTAAAGATTAATGGTTTTGCCGAAGTCGTATCTCTTCATCTCTCCACAAGCAATAGTCTGGCCGTAGTGATTCACAGTTCTCAAACTTGTTCCACTTGGGAAATGACCAAGATAAACTTAAAGTCTTTCAGGATCTTCGACTGTAATGTCAGAATCACTTCCGAGGTACAAAAATAACTCACACATTTTAGGCAATACGTCACAGAAAATTCTCATTGACCCAGTTTATAAATAGTTGGCTGGGAAGAGATCATAGACACCAAAGGTGTCCGCTGTGGTCAGTAAAAGTGCTCTGGTGATATTTGAAGCAAAAAGTCTGACAAGTGTTGATTACTCATTAGATAGTCTCATAACAGGACCAAGTGCTATAAAAACTGATACTCTATCAGCAAAATATTGCTCATTGTGTGATAATGCATAAAACATTTGACTTGTACCTTGAGAATGCCCAATAAATGCCAATTTTTAATTTTTTGTAAGGGTCAAAATATAGTCAATCATAGCAGGCAGATCGTAGTCTCCCATCTCTTCGTAGCCATAATTCCAGAAATCATAATTAGATTTTTTGACAAATGAAGTATCGCTGTATTTATTTCCTCTATTATTACCTAGCCAAACATCGTAGCCAGCTCTGGCTAAAACAAACGCCGGAGCAACTTCTGGACGATGAACAACCCAGGCATCAGCAGAGTCTTCTAAACCATGTTGTAGTAGAACAACTGGCTTGCCTTCAGCAGCTTTTGGATCAAAGTCTTTACCAGTAGCGGGATCCTAGAATCCTGGAATTCTAAACATTTTCAAGATGTAACCATCTTGGGTCGTCACACTGTGTTCCTCAAATAAAAATCCGTTTTGAGTAATCAATTCTTTAATTGTCTTCGACACATCTGGGCTCTCAGAGAAACTCTAAAATCTTTAAGATAAGAAATTCTATTACGCTTGATTTTATCTCTTAGGCATGTACAGCTATTCCGCAGAATAAGATTGATTAAAGAAGGATCCTTGAAATCATTTAATTTAAGAGATTTAAGTTATTATAAATAAGAGATAATAGATTAAAATCAAATTTATTAATTTTGCTTTGATATACTATTACTATAATATGATTGCCAATTCTTAATTAACTCTTAGAAATTTTCGTTAAAACTGAAAAGAATATCTATAATGAAGTATCTCTCTAAATCTGATTATGTTCTCAGTAAATCTGAAAGTAGAAAGCAATTTAATAATAAATTATAACCCTTAATTAGAGATATATATTTCATTTATTTCTATCATAAAACATTTGAAAAATAATGCTATCAGGGGTTTTGGGGTTTTGGGGTTTTGGGG